CCCTAACGATTCTATGATTCTATGATTTAAGTAAATTCCAACTCTTTGCTTTCATTACACTGGTGACTTCTCACTGTCCTCAAACAATAGTCTTAGCAGCATTTCAGAACATGCTTCAAAAATAGTGCAGACAAATGGTATAACTCATCTTCTGTGTCATAATGCAGCTGACTGTATGTGTTAAGGATCGGGTTGGTACCCGATTCCCTGCCAGCAATCAGCTTGAAGAATTTAGATGCAACCAAGGGAATATAGCACCCTTTCAGCATTCACAGGTTTGGGCCCTACCATCTCTACTGCTCCACGAGAACCATGATGAGAAATAACTTCCAGTCAACCTTCTCATGTGGAATAGGCATTGATCTTGCAACTATCAAAGCTATTTCTCTCTCTAGTCGACACTGCACACCTTTGAGAAAGCACAAGTAGTGTTTATAGAATGAGAGACTTCTGTCAAACCACAGATACACACCGCAGTCAGTTGTGTATCCAAACTTGCAAGAGGTCTTTTTTTTTTTCCTTTCATTCCCCCCTCCTTTTGTCTTAGTCCTGTCTTTGTCTTAGATCCTTTAGCAATCTCTCTGCCATTTATTTTTTCATTGTCTGAGATGTCAGCTTCTTCCCAGCTGATCCAGACAACCGCAACAATTCTAACTTCTTCCACACCTCTACAAATACTCCCCCTGTAAGGACTTCTCTAGCTACATCTTCATGCTTTGCAGCTAATGAGTCCTAAAACTCCTAAGACCCACAGAAGCAAAGGAAGAAGTCCTGTCTCAGTCACTAGAAGAAAAGCCTCTCTACTACCTTCTATTAGATTTTACCTTATTTGAGCTTGGATTTAAAACTTTAACGAAACTGGACAGTCAGTTATTTTACCCTAGATGGTCTACCTATCCTGTAATTTAGAGTAATTGTTATTAGGTCAGCAATCAAGGAAGATGTAAGTGAAAACAAATATTTGTTATGACAGAATGAAACTCGGCACTGGCAACTGCTGCGCTAAAAGAAAATGAATCAGAGAAGAAAGCAAATCAAAATCAAGATAGCTGCATTTGGTGCAGGCTATTAATAGTATCTACTCAAGTCCCGATTCCTAACAGGACACTACATCATCCTATGACAAATTCACGCATCCGTGTTATCTCCCTCGTGATTCATCTTATATTCTAAGATGATAGTTACTCAGTTTTCAAATCTTCTTCAGTTACATCTCAGCTGTGACCAGCCCACTCTCTGAATATGTATCATGAAAAAAAGATTCCAAGTAAGCAAGTGACCAGTCTTACTCATATAGGACTTCAAGCTATGGACTGTGAGACCACCGGGGTTTATTGCTTTAGCTTTAACCTTCCCTTATGCTCTCAAGCTTCAATACTAGTCTCTGCAAACGCATCACCTAAGGCATCAGAGGAACCTAGCTCTGACCTACAGCTACAACTTTTATACAACAGAGGGTTGTCTCTCGTTACTGTCTAAACATTCTAATGTGCAATTAAGACAATTTAGCAAGATTCAAAGGGAGACTGGGCAGCTTAATAGATCATTAGAATTAAAGAAGACACATTAAATCTGCATTATTATTTTACATTACCAATTGTAATAAATACTGAACAAAGGTCTGGGAGATAAAAAGCCTCATTGTAGGAACTGAATTATCTCCACCTATTACAGACTAGAGGGCCTGAACAGGGCACACCATGCCTTTCCTCATAGGAAAGTTTATTTTACCTTCCTGTTAGGTCAACAGTGCTGCCATTAGAGGAAAGATGCTTAATTAGATGGGCACATGTGACTGAACAGTTACCATAAACATGGACCAAGATTTTGCTTACTACCTTTAATTCTTCCAGTGACATAGAGAAAGCCATCCTTGTCTAGTTTTCCCAGATCTCCAGAATGTAGCCACCCATCCTCATCAAAGGCTTCTTTTGTTTTGTCTTCCATATTTAAATAACCCATGAAAACAGTCCTTCCCCAGAAACAGATCTCTCCATTGCCTTCTGCATCTTCATCCACCAATTTCACCCTGCAGCCAGGTGCTGGTTTACCACAGCTATTGGAGAAGAATAGAAAACACCATAAGGAGCACAGAAATACAAAATATAACACTGACAAGATGTCTAACACGTGAAATCCCTGAACCACCAAAATATTAGTGACTGTAAATAACACCCTGCTGTAACTGTTTCAAAGTTACGGAATATTAATTCACTAGGGCAGATACGTTAGAGTACCTAAGCTCTTTTCAGCTGTCTACCTTGCCCCATGCTTTTTGGGTTTTTTTTTCCCCTCTCCATCTTCAGGTGAAAAAACACTTTTGTATTTGAGGTCCTGCATTTTAATGTTATCCTACTCTAGGCCAGGGCTAGGATATGCATCAGATTTACTAACTGTGTCCTGCATATAATGCTGTAGATCACTTCCAGTGCTCTTGGCATGGCACTCTGCAGAGGCAATGTGTCCTTGCCTCCCAAAGTCACAACAGAGTGGCAATGCACTGAGAGAAAATAAAATAAGTGATAAGATCTTTGCTGAACTTAGTAAATACTCTTCTCCTAGATACAATAAAATATACCACATTTGGGGAAAAAAAAAAAAAAAAAGTAAAATTACCTGTGCTGCCTGTAAATACGAGGCCCAGATAGGCAATGCGGACCTGTGGTCTCACTCATCCCATAGGCCTCATACAGAGTGATGTTCAGACCCAAGAAGAAATACAGCGTTTCTTCGTTGAGAGGAGCAGCACCACAAAAGTGCTTCTGACAGCAAGAAAGACCCAGCGCACCGCGTATTTTTGCAAGCACTAAGTAGTCTGCTAATCTCGTCCAGAACTGCTTTAAATCACTGCTGAGTACAAACCACATGAGAAGGAGACAGTAAGTCAGAGCAACCTGTGAAATCTCCAAAACAAAATCAGACACAAATTTAGTTTAGAGATATATTTGCCACTTGGTTTTGGGTGTTGACAGAAGTGACATCAGTAAGAACAGGTTACATATTTGTCCTTTTATCATTTATTCAGTGTCTTTCATTGCTAGTGAACTCTAACTCTTGAGGTGTCTGAGTACTGCACATACATAAAGAATCTATAAAAATGTAGTGTATAAAACAAAGCTCTCGTATTCCTGATTCTTTGTAAGTTAAATGCACCTCTGAGAACTTATACCCCATTAAACAGTGAAACTTGGAGGACCGATCTGAGAAGCTGAATGATCAGACAAGCAAAGCAGTATCACTGCATGAGCTTTTGGAATACCATTTTCTGTAAGCAATTTCACACTCCATCGTATCAACACTTTAACAGACTTTGGAACAGGCAAAAAGTGGGAATTAAGTTAATATTTGAATTTATACAACATTCTTTTTCTAGGCAATCTTATGGAGAAAAATACCACCGTTATTCAGAACACAGATAATGCACTTAGAGCTCAGAGAATTCACAGGGGGTCCCTGAGTTTGTGTACAGAGATGAGATGTTCTTACTCACATGGTGCGTACCCAAACTGGCATGAGCCAGTCTGTCTGGGCTGTCCCCCAGAATTTACCCCCTCTCATACACCTCCTCCAAATTCATGCCCCTTCCTTCCACAAACCAGTAACGAGCACTTGCACAACCACATGGTGCACTGCATCAGGGAACTCTCCCAGCTGAAAACTAACCAGTTCAGTTCACCAAAGACACAGAGCTGGGGGATGTGTTCGTGGGAGTAGGTTCTCAGGGAGGATGGAGGGGCACTTTGAACAGTCACCTGTGTTTAAGAACAGCCTACTCTTATTGATAACTACTCTCTCCCTCTTGCATTATATTTGCTGTGTTGCCAGGCCAAATTTTACCCATTTACATTCCGAGTCTCACTGATGCTTTGTGGTTTATTATAAGCAGATAGCTACTTCCAGGTTGACGAAATCTAACTCATAATACATACCTGCTTGAGCAGTTTAGGTTTCTCTCTAAGCTAAGTGACATAGCCCATGACAGGATTTTCTTCTTCATAAATCCTGACTGAGCAGAAGCATCCTTTAATTTCTCCATGATTTTCTCCCATACTCGGGGAACTCCCATGTGAGATGTTGGCTGCACTTCTTTTAGTGTGTTGATCAAGCTGCCCTGTTAAAATCATTACACCATTTCAAAACATTGCAAAAAGCCCACAGCAGTGATAAAGAGGCTTGGTGATGTAGTCTGCATCTTGCAACGCTAACATGTTGAACATCACTAAACACGTAGGCTATAAAAAAGGACTGCTGGACCTACTCCAGTCAGACATATGCACTAACATGTGCCAGCTCTGACACATCAGGGGAGGTACACACACAAGAAGGAAAACATATCAGTGGGTTAGTTCCTTCTGCCTCCCTTTCCTCCAAAAATTGCTTGTATTTCTTTTGCTTTAGATGCATATTCTTCTGCCTTAATAGAAGTTTATGGATCTGGATTTTGCATTTTAACTGGAGTCTAGAGCACTGGATCGCAAGTCTAATGGATTCTATTTTTCCATAATTCTTACAATAATGGACTCTCAATTTTCATCTTCTGCACATCTTCAAAGACAATACTCTCTCCTTGGCATCTTTTCTAAGAAGAAGAAGTGCAAGCTTAATTAGGTGCAATACAAGACAGATACCTTCAGAGCATCTGGCTCAGCAAAGTAAACTTGCTCTCCCCATTTGATTCCAGTCCACAGGTCATACATCTGCGCAGCTACGTGGCTGAGTGGGAGATAACTGACTATAGACTCCTGTTGGACCTCTGCAGGTTGCATATCTCCTGCTCTGCTGCAATGTGCTGATGTCCAAGTTACCTGATTAAATAATAAAACACATTAGGTATGGTGTTTTGGTTTGTTTTTTTTTTTCTTTTTTCCTTTTAACACAAAGTAAGGATCTTCATGCTATGCTAAGGTAACTATGCAGAACCTGTGCTCACAGAAATTGCTGAAGACATTGCAATCTTTGATAACACACCAGACTGTCAATTCCCTGGGGGACACTCAGTCAAAAGCAAGATGAACTTAGCAGCAACACAGCTTGCAGATAACATAAGTAAATGCAGTCTTTCTGCTGCCTGACTGGGCTATGAACACTACCAACTCCTCACGCCCTAGGGACACACTGAGCAGGGCAGCCATGGGCTGGATGGACAAGGAGCAAATTGATCTGCCTCTTCTTTTGCAACTCTCCTACTGTCCACACTTTATATCAAGCTGGCACTTTTCACTGGTGCTACGTCTATATGGGGGTTGGAACTAGATGATCTTTGAGGTCTTTTCCAACCCTAACCATTCTATGATTCTATATGTTTACCTGAAAAAGAACAACAAAAACTCAGTGATCAGTGAGCTCAAAGTGCAGTTTAGTATCAGCAACAAGCTCATTGCCTTGTATTGATCATCACCTGTCTAAGCACTAATGAGAAAGACAGCTGCTGTATTCCACTCCTCTGGAATATTCACAAGTGAGACACACATGCACAGATATATCCCTGTGAGTGGCACTGCATACATGAATATTTGTGAAGATGTGCTGCTTGACTTCTTATTGAAACTGTATGATGTTCCCCTCCCTCTTCTTCCTAATTCCCAGTTTATCTCAAAAGATGCAGGTCGAGGATGCTAAATATGCGTATCTTCATTATCAGAATATAGTGTATGGAAGAGCCACAAATGTAAGTGATTGTATGAGGGGGGAGGGAAAAGATATACGTGCACAGCAAAAAAACCCCAAACATCCCAAACCAAACCAAACACCCCAAAACCCCCTAACTCTTTCTCAGAGGAGTCTAATCTAAAATAGGTAGGGAAGGACACAGAAATGAGATTATTTGAGATGGCAGGGAAGAGATACAAATCACATGCAGTATCTGTTACCACAGCATGTTCCTGCCAGCTCCTTTTCTTTGTAATAAATGAGAAAGTACAAGCGTATGTTCAGTCTAAGGAAATACAGATTCTCGAGAGAGGTTTTAAAGGAGCAGCATGCTGCCAGGCCAGGCCACTCTGAGTTCAGGCAGCAGCACTGGACGAGTGGCTATAGGAGACTTACTCAGTCGGCAGAAGGGGATGTCTTTGAGATGTGGTTATACTGATTATTTATCCTTCTTATCCTCCAAGCCTCGCGGCATGCAGGCACACTCACAACAGAGCTGTGTGGGTGCATATATGACTGACTCAGCATTGGTTTTGCACATGGACAGTGACAAACATCTTTTGACTAAAGAAGGCAGCAGCACAGTTACAGACAAGACATGTTTTCCACTGTTCGTCAACACAAAAATAGCCTGTTTGTGATCACCAGCCAGGAATAGTTTGGCAGCTAACATGGAAATGACACCAGACTCCTTTGAGATGGAAGAGCATAGGATTTGCAACATCAGAACACTCTTTTTGTCTATCAGGTCCACTGTGTTTTGCTTCCAGATCCTACTGTACTGATTCCCTGCATTTGGGTGAATTGCTCCTCACAGTGTGTTTCCGCATTATTTTAACAGGAGAGACCATAACTTAGACCAGCCCTTTCATAGATTGTCTATGCACTCAGAAGGGCTCTCTATCACTTTCCAATCCCGCTCAGCCACCTTAAAAAAAAAAACAAAAACACTTTATATATATATATAAAAACAAAACAACTGCAGTCCAGGTCTTTGCTAGTAGACCTCTGAGGAAAGTCGTTTTTGCAAACGACTTTGCTTTTCTCTACTACTGGAAAATTTTCTGCTTGCAACATGCAGGTAGGGTTATTGCAACTACCAGGGCTACATACAACTAAAGTTGTATTATTCCCCAGTGACAGATGCAGAAATCCAAGTCTAGGAATGTAATAATGCCAAAGTTTAAAAAACCCTACACATCCACCTCCAATTTTAATAAAATTTGAAAAGCAGTCTATCAAGCTGTTTTGATAATGACTGGCTGATGTATACGATTTGTTCGTTTTGAGATGACCTGTGACATCACCTGAGAGACTTTATGGTAATCTGTGAATTATATTTATGAACATATGCATTATATTTTACAAAAACACCAGTGAACAAATATCTGATATTAATAGCAAACTGTTAACCTTGTGAAGTGCTAGTCTGAATGGAATTTCATTCTTCACCATGCTTCTACTTTACCAGAAACAGCTGACTACCTTTTGAGCATTGCTTTGTAGTACACTTTCCATGTTGCGAAAGCAAAATGATTTCGAGGCTCTAGTAGGTACCAGTCATTTTAAAACACAGGAATAAACATCCTTGTACGTTGCTCTTTTGATGCTAGAGGAAGAGCCTAAAGTACATACATTGTCATGACTCAGCATGGCTCCTTTCGGCTTCCCAGTTGTTCCGGACGTGTATACTAGTACACAGCACTGATTCGGCTTTTGGGAGTTAATAATATCATCCAAAGTAGTATCAGATATGTCGTCTCCCAACTCCAGAAACTCTTCCATCTGGAACACGCAACAGAAAATACAGGATATCAAGTGGCTTCTTACACATGGGAAAGATGCAGTATTTTATCAGTCTCAAGACTGGCAGAAAACTTCAGTGCCTTGCTCTGAACATGTTTCCAAGGCAAATTTCCCCAAGGTCTTGCCCATGTAATACATGCAAACTGACTATCTAAAATTGTGCTGCCACAAGTCTTCAGTGTCCAAGAAGGGAATGATAATACTGTTCCTCCTCCAAGATAGATACTATGGACAAGTCATAGAGGCTAAAATTCTGTTACTCTCTTACACTGTTATTAGAATGATTTTGAGTCTTATTTAAAGGAATTTGGATGTCCCATTTTTAAGTAAGAGTACACTTGTGACGTTCCATCTATAATTCCTTGTCCTCTATATAAATACAAAGTAATTGGATGAAAGCTTCTGTGCAAAACCATCATCATCTAGATGTGTGAATGCCCAAATTATCCACTATTTTATAGCAGAGTATACGATGCTGGTCACAACTTCCATTCAAATTTGTCTCAATCTAGAATAAGCTAAACCTTTTATGATGCTGGACTTTTGTGCAGCACAAATTGGCCCAGAAGAATGCTGAACCTGGTCCTCTGTGTTATACTGCTGGCTCCCAGATACTTCTATTGCATGCACCTGATATGCTGCTAAGTGTACCATTGATTTCAGCGCTAACTGAAAACTGGGGTATAACAAAATTTTTTGAGAAAGTTAATAACCAAACTGTCAGTTTCCCATTGGAATCAGATGATTCACACTGTGCTACAGGACTGCATTATTCAAATGTAAGATGCAGAACCTCCATTCTTCAACGACTCCTTGAAGCTCTATCTAGGACCCCATACCAGTAAAGGGGATGATGCAAAGGACAGCAGAGGTGAAAAAGAAGAGCCTGTGCTTGAGGGGAGGTTCATTGTCTCCTTCAGACCTCTGCCAATAGACAGTGTACTTCTAAGGTTACAACAGCTAGCCTCTGTGGCACCTAGACTTCCTTCCCTTGGGTGGCAAGGTTGTCCTAAGGATTCTTCTGATTATCATCAGTTTTATACTTTCTTCCAACAAACACATCTCTGAAAAGAGAGGCAGTACAATGCACTGGTCTGTAGCCAGCAGAGGATTTGTCACATCCCATCCCTTCCCACGGAATGTGGCTGCATCAATTTCACTAGCTCCTGGAAAGTGGAGGTGTCAAGGGTGTAATTGTTCCTATGTGACTTAGCAGTTGTTCCTCTTTTCCTGACCTTACTGTATTCTCATACTAGAACGTGTTAATCACTGTCAATCTGTTGCCTAGGCTTTGTTTACTGAACAGCACCTGCAACAGCCAGTGTTCCCATTCCACAGAGCCTGAAAGGTACAAACAAACAGTCACGCACACTACTGACTTTGCATTTGCCTTCTGGAAACAGGCAGTGACCAGAGAACTAGGGCTCTGCCCTCACTGCAGCGATCACTCATGACATGTTAGCTGTCAACTTGCAACACAAATCCCTTTTATCAAATGCCATGTGGTTTGGGTGGTTTGCTTTACATCAAACCTAAAGAACAATCGTTTCTGCCTTTGGTGACTTCATCTCTGATTTTTCTTTTAAAGGACAAACTATGGCAACTCTCAGACACCCTCACAGCTACCCTTCTCCAGTGAGAAAATATGTCTAACCCGATACCCAAATCACAGTGTTTTCAAATGTATCAATTCTCAGCTATTTAGGTTTCACCAACTGAATGTTGTTCCAGAATTAATTGCTAGGACTTACTCTTTTACTAAGAAATATAAATATTAAGATCATTTTTGTAGCTGTTCATTAGTAACAGTTATAGGCTATCAACCATAGCAAAGGAAGATATGATTAAAACCAGCACAGAAGATTTTTTTCTTGTGTACCTAGTAACCCCTCAGATTATCAAAATTGCTAATATTTTTAAATATTTCTATACTGTTCACTCTTCACTAATATCTTTTTTTCCCCAGTTGAAGTTTTTCAGCCTAGAATTTGACAATCTGTAGTCCTCTTAAAATGCTGATTTCTGTATTCTTATTAGTTATTTTCAATTATATTTTCAAAATAAATTGGAATAACATGTTTACAAAAATCTGTTCTGCTTCAAGTCCTCATATTTCTTAAATTAAAGGCTGGACTTCTACGCCTCAGAAAATTCTGATCCTGGCTTTGTCCCTGTTTTTGCTTTATTTTTACCATCTGATACAAAGATTCTATGTATACAAAGAAAATGTGGTCCTCTGTGTAGTCCATAGTTGCCTATCACCAGAAATATCGGGTGCAAACAAAACGCAACAATCATCTGTAAAAGTACAAGCATTTTCATGTTCTTGGATCCAGTGTAAATAATCACAATTTGGCTTTTCACTAGCACCAGTGGACAACTTTTATTTTGAACAGTTTGAGAACACACATTCCATCTGAAGTCTATAGGTGTTTCGTTAATCCAGACAATTAAAAAGCCAGGAAGACACAAGACAGGCACTTAAGCAAGGTAGCACTGATTTTAAACATCAAGTATCAAACATGAAGTTACAGTCAAATTAAACAGAAAAAAATGATGAAGTTTTTAAATGCATTTGCTGGAAAACAGCAATGCGTTCTAAATGGTAGACATTTCACAATAATACTGCATGAATTGTAACTCTGTTCGAGCATTCACATACCGTATACAAATTTGGATGTCTCTCTGGAATGGAGTCCTTAGATAGCACAACTGCTTTCAAGTGTGGCAAGCGATTCCAGATCTGTTGGATTTTTAAAAACAAATTTATTATTTTTTATTCATAACTTCTGCAGCTTTTTTTTTTCCCAATAAAACACTGCGAAAACTCTAACGGCTTGACAGTCACAAGAAACTTCCTGTTTCCCTCCACCCTCAAATATCATCCCCTAAACTCACAACTAACTAGCTCAACAAGGAGGGCGGGAGGGAAGACGGGGAAAAAGGAGATGTTACACAGTCTCTCTCTCTTTGGTTTCACTCAAAAGATTTTTTTTTTTAAAAAAACAACCAAGCAACAAACCAACCAACATCAGAAAAGACGACTCAGCCTCCTTTCTCATCATGCACCAGAGGGCACATCAAGGAACAGTCAAGGTCAAGCTAGAAGCTGACCCTAGCTGCTGTGGTTACCAATAAAGATAGAGGAAGTCCCTCAGCAAAAACTGTTGTTAAACTGCTAAAAATACATTCTACCTTTTTATAGGAAAAAAAAGAAAAGAAAGCCATATGCACATCCTAAGGATAAATAAAAATATAAAGCTGCGGGCTTGCAGGCAGACAGCAATGGCTGCTGCTTTTGGTAGCTCTTTCTCTTCTTAGCATGGCCTGCAGAGAACGTTCATTTCACTGAACTTTTGCCTCACAGATGCCTTTGAATTAATCACATTTTGAACTGACTTGATCAATCCGCGCTAATACAAAAGCAGTGGCTTGATGGTAGCCATTATGGATTTATTATTAGGAGAAAAATAAAAATGTTACATTATTACTTCAGTCTTGGGTTCTTCCAGAATAAAAAAGAAGTTTCAAAAAACCTTCGGCTGCATAAAGCAGTGTTGGCCAGAGCTGGTTTTTCTTTTCCTATATGTATGAATTAGATCCCTTGAATTCTTCAATTTGTATTCTTCTGTCCAAGTTCATGACAGCATAGCCTGGTACAAGAAGGCTTTTCCGATTGTATGTTTTTCCAGAACACTTATAAAAATCTTCCTCCAAATCACATAAAAAACCCCAAACTATAAATCAACTAATGTATAACTTATATGAAATTCATTTGAAAAAAAAATCAGGGATCCTTTTCTCTGGTAGGTGCATGTTTTTGGCAGAAACCTCCATCACAGAGGGCCCCTCACATCAGCAAACAGTGCAATTTGGTGCAAGTTTGATGCCACATCTCCAGTCACGGGCCTCCCTCAACATCTCACTGACAGACAAGCCCTTCCCAGGGTATTGCCCTGTGCTGCTCCCCCAAGTCATGCAACAGGGATCTTTCTGTCAAGTTGGTCTTTCAATCTGGCACCCTTGTGGAATCCCACTTGAAGATGCTGAAGAGTTTTGTCAGAATTGTGACCGTTCACTTAAAAAGCCTCCTCCTCTCTAGCGTCACTAAAGTCCATCTCATGTCAACCATCATGCTATCAAAGTGCAGGAAACTCAACAGCCTTAATGGTTAGTATTACAAGAAGGAAAAGATGACAATTTGGAAAGAGGAGAATCTGAACCCTAGCATCCTTAATATTGAAATTGAAAGCCTTTACAAACTTGCATCATCCTAATCTCACCCATTCAAGTACTCTACTTTTCCAGACAGAATCAGGTGGTGACATTATAAACATGGGATCAAACTGTGGGTTTTTTTGCCAGGTAAGATTGCAGTGAACCAGTCAGTGAGCTCTCTGCTGCAGAGAATCAGAACTGCTTAGGTATGAGACAGACACTATAGAGAAGAGCTGCAAGTTCCCCAATAGCTCAAACACCAGATATCAGATTTCCTAATAAGAACGCTCCCGTGAAAGGCTCTGTGATACAGATAGTGAATACAGTATACATACAGCACCAAGAAATGAGAAAATTGTGGATTTTAAGCAACCATTCAGCCATGTGGTACCTGCATTATCTTGTCCAGTTGCTTCTGATTTTCCACAACCATGATATTGGTTTTGCTATCATAAGCGATGTAGTGGCAGGCCTCTGGAGAATTGGTTGTATATATTCCTGTGACAATTCCTCTGTATCAAAAATGTACATATATTTATTTATACACACATATACATGCACTTAGTATCAAAAAATAATAATCACAGATCAGATGAAAGTTGAACAAGCATGAAGACAGAAGTAAACAGGAGCACAGCTTTCACGTGTTTTTGGAGTATTCAGATATACATGAATATCTCTGATATAGGTACATTGCAAAAATGTAAAGTCTGTTCAGTAGAAGATGCCATAGACCAGGATTCAGCATTTTAACCTACTTGAGGCTACATGACAGTTAGCTCGGGAAGTGGTAAAAAAACCACTTACGGCCTCTTTCTGTTCAAGCTGCACACAGATAACTAACTTGAACTTCATTGACACAGAAGCAGCTTAAGAGGTAAAATCCAAATTGTATAAACAAGTATCGGGACAGAAGGAATCAGGCTAGTTAGTATTTATCTCTCACTTCATCTACTTGAACATATCCTGCTGTAGACAAATATCACTAACATAAAACTGGGAGTCTCATCTGTTTCCCACATCTTCCAGTATTAAGATACTGTAAAATAGCTTCTGTGTGACTGTCACAGTTAAGCCCATAGCAAACAGGATCAATTTATGAGTGTCTGGACTGCTTCAGATAAACTGAAAGCCACAAGACTCCAGTAAGCCGCTGAACATGCTAATCAGCTGCAGCACGACTTCCAGGATATGACACCCAATACTGATTTGCTACATTTCCAGACCCAGCAAAACAGAAATCCCCAAATCCCCCCATAAACCAAAACAAAAAAAATCTTACCCAGCAAAAACAGCTCCAACAGCTGAGATGAACCATTCTGGAGAATTAAATCCAAGGATTGCTACACTGTGGAATCGTTCAAGACCAAGCTTAAAAATAGTAAGCATAAGGTTATACAGTGTAGGCACGCTGGAGAGAAACATACAGCGCAACACGTATATGCAAATACAAACCATGGAAAAATTTTGATTTATTTCTTATTTCAGTATTGACAAGACATCTCTGTGTTGATACCCATAGCAAAACCAGTCTTTACCAGCAATTAACATGATCTAAGCTTTACACTACCTTCTGCCTGGTTGACCTCTGCTGTCCAGAAAGGCCTGAAAACCGCAACTCTTTAATATGAACAGAGGCATAATGAGTACTAATCTTATCCTATGCTTAGAACATTTTAAAAATCTATCCTGCCAGGTTCATGAAAGTGCTGCTTTTACCTATTTTTCTTTTTTTTTTTTTAATCTTAAGGCCTTATGCTGAGCTTCGTACCCATGACTGAGTGAGACAGTGTAACAGCAGCTCTTCACTTGCAGACAAGTTGCCTTGACAGTAATGTTAACTCTTTGACCAAAACTAATTTTCATTGTTATTATTTTAATAAAAAATATGACTGCTGATCTTCAGTTAATGAGAAAAAAGTCTATAATTGTGGTTTTGGGGTTGGGTCTTTGGGGAGGTTTTGTTTGTTAGTTTGGTTTTTCAGGAGACAGAAAGGGAGAAAATGGAATTGGTCTTGTTTCCCTGTACCTACCTTCAAGAAGCTCTTGGCTGCTTTCCTGGAAAGGCAGTAATACTCTGAAAAAGTTATCTTCTCCCACTTTCCATTCTTTTTGCTAGCCAAAGCATTAAGAGATCCATATTTTTCTAGGCTCTCCTTGAACATCTGATGGACCGTTATGGGGGTTTGCGGACATGAGTTATCTATTCTCAGTTTCACTCTGCCATCAGCAAAGGAAGTCCACAGAGACTCTGGAAAGTAAAGCATTACCATCAAGGTATTCTATCATTGAAAAATATTGTGAAACTGTACCAAAAGACAGGAGGATTGAATAAAGACTGCAGGACTAACCGTAACTCTGGCATTTCCCACCTTTTGAGAGAAGGGCTTTCCAATTTTCTATCAAAAATTCCATGTAGAAAAAGAAATCTTTCTTTCTCATACTTTGTTCTGTGTCTTGAATAAAAGTGTCACCAAATAGAATTATGCTGATCTTCTGTGTGTTACAGACATCACCAATTCCAGAAGATTCTGTTTGCTGTTGCTCAACACTACACAACTCCCTATCTCCTGAGCCAATGGAGTAGCTGGTGAATAAGATATCTATGGAGATCTGAAAGACCTGAAACTTCTGTCCCTGTTCAGCATCCGAGCTCCTTTTGCTTGTCATAACTCTCCCCTTCCTCCTCTAAGTTATTCTGCGTCATCCTGCCCCTGCTCCCCACCACTTTCCACAGGTTTTTCCTTTGGTCACCTGCCCTATGTTCTAGTGTGTATATCCACTCCATTCACTCCTGTCTTGCCCTGTTTCCACATTATCTTTCACCTTCTTCTGCTCTTGCCTTCCTCACCCTGTCCTTCCTGTATTTTTCCTCCCCTTCTTTGACAGGACACAGGCACAGAGCACCAACTAATGTCACTTGGTGCTCACCACCAGTGTCAAGGATTGGGGCCGTCTCTGGCATTCACAAGAAATTACTGTCTCAAAAATCCTACTTGGCTCTTGCAAACCCAGCAAGAAGCAGGCTGAGTATAAACATGCTCCTTAGAGAATCTAGAGGTTAATCAGTTGGCAAAATTCAGGTGAATTCTCACAGGGAAGACAAAAAAACACTCACAACTTCCCTTCGAACAGTTAGTTCCCATACTTCTGAACAAAATAGTACAAGAACATTTTAAGAACAACATTTCTTAGATTTACTTTCATAAATGAAGAAATATTTTTAGCATAAACAACAACAACAACAACAAATATATTCTACAGAGCGCTGGTGGAAAATTTCAGACCAAAGAGCTTAGGTTTGTCAGAATTAACAGTAACAGAAAATACAACTTTTTGAAGTTTCTCATATAAGCTAATAAGCACAACTGTCTTTACTACACTTATGGAGAGTAAAAACTGTAAAGAATGCTCAGCTAGTATCTATACTGTTTCCTGGTACCTCAGAGGCTGAAAAAAGCAGTTCTGGAGTGTTCATAAGTACAACATGCTTCACATCCCTCTCAGATGCTGTTCCTCTAGCTGCTTCACAGAGGGAGGGCCTGGAAACTCCCTCTGAGCATTTCTGGCAATGTATCAACGCATCCATGATGGATCCATGTGAGCACTTCAGAACACACTTGCAGCCTCCCTCAAGTCAGGCTTGCAATATGGACAGATAACTAGAGGCACCACAAGCTACTGTAAGCTCACAAATGTACATAAAAAACCCAAACCAAACAACTTTCTCTAGTAAGGAAAAAAAAGTCTCATTACTTTGCTGTGTAGAAAAAGTCAATCATAGTCAGCTGACGAAGTACAACTACTAAACTGAAAAATACCAATACCAGTTTAGTTTGCTGCCAGTATTCTGTGGAACTACTTCTGAAGATTTCACTGCCCCATGTGGTATGCAAGCATGTGCAGAGCATTTTGGAAAAAAAATTAAAAATCACCTTTCTACCTCCTCCCAGGTAAGGAGGTAAAAACCCTCATGCAGAAAGCGAGTGAGCTGAGCAGTCAAAGCCATAATGTGTGTGAACCCAATGCTCCTGACTTCCATTATGTTCCTGACTCACAGTCTTGCATTTGTTCTCTTGACCGTCCTGACAAACAGAAATAATGACAGCAATAAATACAAATAAAGCTGCTTAATCTCCACGTGCCTTCATTTTCTCATGTGTAAATTGCATATAATGATTTTCAAAACATAGGTGTAGAGCTTTGCTTAGATCAGTGGAGGAAGAGCATCATAAATTCAGACAGTTTAGAAAACAAGTAGCTATGAAGAATTCTAGGTAATAGACTGACTTTATCAAAGTGTAAACAGTGGCACTCAACAAATATTTTATGAGTAGTGAAGGCAAAGCAGGTGTTTCTGCACTTAACCGTAATCCTGGTGTGAAAAGGATGAGAGATAAGTCCCATGAGAGACAGAAGTTAGTGTTAATCCAAACGTTTATTTTCTGCAGTGACACACCAAAGCCCAGACAAAAAAAACTCTACGTGATGTTCTGGCTCCTAAACCCAAAGATGGCAGGGATTGCAGATGTGGTTGGGCACAGGTGGGCAACTGCTCTGTTGAAAACAAAACCATACCATACAGATCTAAAATAAAACATTCTAGTCAATGCATAACAAAAATGCTCTTGAACAAGTTGCCTAATTACTACTTTTTCACTGCAGACGTAGATAGTATAATAGTTTCCATAAGGAAGAGTGAAAAAATCAATCAAATCATTGCAATATCTATACACAGAAACAAACAAAAAAAAGTACTTTGAAACTGAGTGTCCTTTTTTGTTTCCTTATGCAATTTTACTGGTGTCAAAAAGGAATCTTTGATTCATACCAAAGGCTAAGAAAAGAATTTGTTTCAGAGAAACTCAGTGAATCATCTTAATAATACACAACACATATTGGAAAGGAATATCAACTTGAGCAATAGATTTGCAGGTAGAACTTAAATCTAAAAACCAGTTTTTAAATCTAAGTAATAAGCCAAAAAAGTCTAAAGATCTAACTAGTTGGTCCCATAGAATTTGTAAAAACAGCAGAACATGAACAATATATTCTGCTGTCAGTTTGCAGAGGGACTTTGAGCAGAGGACTCATTCTTCTCAGAAAGAGCCTGGGAAGGAATGTCTGACTAAAGTCTGAATGAACCAACTGTAAACTTCAGGAAAAGCAAAATAGGTGCTCTGCCTCACTAGCATCTGAAAGTTAAACTGCAGTGTCCAGGCTGGAACTGAACTCAGTACTACCTGAAACCAAAGCAGACACCGGAATAAAGATCCTTTAAATACATTATGAGCATTGGTACGTTATACACCCATAGATTTACAGAGAGCATAAGAAAACATGAAGTCAAAATACTTGTGCTTTGTACAAAGCACACAGCTCAAGCACTTAATGCCACTGAAAGTTCCCTATATGCAAAAGGGAATGTTTGTTCCTTTCCTCTTTTTTCCAGTAACTCCTGCTACCTGCATTATACTTTGTACCGAAAATTCTTTTTCATTCAGAAATATGTGACCTTGGCTCATGTCCTTCATATGAATTCACCGAGGCTCAGAGATGGTGACAAAACATTTGCTCCTAAAGGAAACTATTTTGTCTGATAAAACAAAAAAGGCAGAGCTTTTATTCAGATAGTTAATCTTGATTTTCACGCTTTGAGCCTCTTTGAGTGGTTTTTTTTGCCCCATAGTCATTCTCCTCCAAATCCAAATTCCATGATCAGGCTAAATTTTCCATGATTCATTGTCTTTGCTGCTGAAGGAAGAGAAGGCTCAGAGTATCTCATACATAGAGCGTATAACAGGATGACTATACTGCAGTTTGTCTTAGGAATTGCCCCAAAGACATCTGATATAAATATTTTGGATTTTAGGCGTGCAGTTTTTTCAGTAAAGTGTAAATTTTCAACAAGAAACTTTACAGGAGGAAAAAACTCACAACATAAATACAATTTTTTATCAGTCAGTTGTTATTCCTTTCCACCATGTATGACTGAACAGTTGTGACATAGTACAGGCTGTATCTCCCAGCCTTGATATCAAAAATTATTTTAAACAGATGAACAAATAGTAAAGTTGTTTCTTTTTGATTTCGTTTTTTTCCACATGAATGATCAATCTAGTTGAAACTGGTGGACATCTGGGATGTATGAAGGAGGCTGTGTACTAGTAAATAAAAAAGAAATACACCAACCCTACAGTTTATAGTTAATATATGAATGAAACCTTCTCTCTATTCACTACCTGACCTGCAAGTATTCTGGTGACTGCCAGAATGGATTTGAGAATGTAAATGACTTCTGATGTTTATGGAAGAACAACTCAGAGCCATATAAAATGCAAAAGAATCAAGGTCACCTTTCAGACAAGTAAACAGACAGACTGATTGTGGAATGGCCCTGTTGCATGACCTGAGTAACTCCAGGCGATATTCCATAGATGTGCCCTGAGAAGCAGGAACTAAAACAATAATTTAACTTCTGCTTGAAACTGATTCAGATTTAACTCACCAAACAGTGTCTTGATTATATGCCAGTCCCTGCAAAACATCACTCTGCTCTAATGATGAGAGAAGGTATTCAGCTCTTTGCTGGAGGCGTTTCTGACGGACAGTCATCATCCCAGATTCCACAGCTATGATGCCATCGTGTTCTGCTGACAACACAAATACACTATTCCTCCTCTCGCCCATTATTTTTCAATTTTCTTCAAGATGTCTTTGGCCCTGAAAGCTTAACTTCTTTTTAGTGAAAGCTGGAGCTGAGTGCACAAAGGTCGGAGTCTGAGAGCTTGGCATGCGTGTCGAACTTCCCTTTGTGCCAATGAACAGATTAAACAGAAGTACAAAACTTCTGAATTCCCAGTGAACCTGAATGTATCAGCCAGAATACATACATAGTGAGTCTTTTAAAAAAAATATGAAAACCAGCTTCCTGTTGCTTGCCTGGCCACAGCTTGGGGAGGAGGAGGATTTTCTGCTACATTATCAATTTTCCGCAATAAACATTTAACTTTAAACTCTCAAACAGGAAAGACAGAATAAATAGCTGAAATGCTTTAAATTAGCCAAAACACACACAAGTATTTCAGTTCATGGAAACTTGTACCTTTTCCATCAGAGGAAAAGGAAACATTTATGAATTGCAATAAAATATTAGTGATGTGAAGAGCAGTAACTACTACCAATGTGGATCAGAGAAATAAGATACTCTCCAAAGTGACACGGAGGGAGTGGTGTATCAGGACAAGTACAAAATAAGCTTCATAACAATACCGACGCCTCTAAAGCTGATTACGATGCACCAAAATGGAAGTGTGTAGAGGGTGTAATCAGGAGGAAACGTCACCACAGAAACATTGCCCAGGCATGCAGGAATGGAAAGTCAAAACTCAGTTGGAACTGAAATTGGTGAGTAATGTGAAGAGCCACAAGAAGGGCTTCTACAGGCACATCGACAGCCAAAAGGAGAACAAGGGACATCATGGGCAACTTACTGATGTAGGACACAAAAAGGACTCATGTACTCTATGCCTTCCTCACCTTGGTCTTAAGATAAGGCTTCCTGGGTTTCTGTCTAGTGGCAGATGATGTCGTTTACCTTTAGTAAGGTCTCCCCCAGCATTCCTGGAAGGCTTGGACCAGATGGAATTGGAGTAACAGGTGGATAAAAAAATTGGCAGGATAATTAGTCTTTGAGAGCAGTGGTCAACATTTCTAAGTCTAACTAGCAGTCAATTACAAGTGACATTCTTCAGCAGTTAGTCCTGAGAACGATACTGTTTAATGACTGCATTATTGTGTTGGACAACAGAATGCACCCTCACCAGCTCCAAAGATGACACCAAACTCAGGGAATTGGCCAACATGCCAAAAGGCAGGACTACCACTCAGGTGGACCTCAGCAAACTGGAGGAATGGGCTGACATAAACCTCAAAGCTGGACGAGGGTGAATGGTAAGTCTTGCACTTGGTGTAGGACAACCCCACGCAGCAGCATGGACTGGATGCCAGCTGCCTCAGCAGAAAAGCCCCTGCAGTTTCTCGTGGACAGGTTGAGTGCGAGTCAGTGGTATCTCCTGGTGCAGATAAAAGCTAACTACATCGCAGGCTTCACCAGTAAGATAACAGTCAGCAGATCAAGGAAAGTAATTATTTCCCCCTCCTCAGTACTCCTGAGGGTGCGCCTGAAGCAGTGTACAGTTTTGAAAGCCCCAGTGCAAGAGAGAGATCCTGACAAATTGAAGCAAGTCCAAAAAAGAAACTCCCGGATAGTCAGGGGCCTGGAGTGTACCGTGTATGAGAAACCCATAAAGGAGCTGGGTTCTTCCATCTGGAGATGAGAAGACAAAGAATGAACCTAACCTCAGCCGGCCACAGACTGAAGGTGGGGTGCTATAAAGAAGACAGATTCTTCTCACAGGCACACAGCAGAAGAATAAGAGGCAAAGGACATGAGCTGCAACAAGGAAAATTCTTGCTAGAGAACAATAATTTCACGATGCAGGTGACTCAGCCTAAGAAGAGGGACTGAGAGGCTGTGGAATCTCCATCCTTGGAGGTTTTCAAAACTCAGCTGAAATGAGCCCTCCTATAAGCAGAAAGCTGGACTAGTTGTCCTCCAGTGGTCTTTTCCAATATAATCATTTTGCAATTCCATCAGTATAAAACAAGCACGAATGAGTTCTCTTTTAACTTTACACTGGTTTTAAGCCAATATAATGCTTGTTGCCAACAGTAAGGTTACTCTGGTTTTACATATGCGTTAGAAAAAAACAAAATCTGGCCTGATTCTGCAGGAATGAGCTTCTATACATCGGTGGAAAAGAATGGGGAAAAAATTCCAGAACAATCCAGGGTCCTCATTAGGCAAACTTACTCCTGAGGTTGCAGAACATATCGATTATAAAATGAGAAAGATGGTTCTGCACAACTAGAAAACACCAGAATCTCCTTCTTTTCTCTTGATATACGAAGCAGACCCACCACAACTACACACTGAGCTCCCTTCTCCCAAAATATTTTTGGGAGAAGTTTTTGACGTTCAGTCCTCACTTCACCTCTCAGCACCTGCATAGTTGTGTGATGTTTCCAAGTCAAACACTGCTTCTCATTTAAATGGATAACAAGTAGTGCCACAGATTCCCAAAGTCAAATAAAAGACAAAGGCTAACTTAAATTGTAAGCTCCTGATTCATCAACTTAGAAACATACCTAAACTCAAATAAAGGAATTGCTTAATTAAAATGGATGAGGTGTGACGTGTGTTTGCAGGAAAACTACAGTGGAACAGCTGGAACGGCTTCTATCCTCAGCTGGTCATCTCACCTTTCTTCCAGAGGCTGTGGTCACCGCTGCAGGAGTGGCTGAATGGCATGTGCATTCCTTCCGCAGCACTCTGGTTTACAACCCAGCACATTACTCTAAACTGCAGCCAGCAGCAACCTCTGGGAGAAAAGCAGGGTAGATAGCTGACAGCAGTACTCAGCATCCCAGATAAATTTTTAGAAAAATAGGTCAGAGCCTTCACGAGCACACAAGCAAGTACTCTGCAGAATGGCAGCCTCAGTAACAACCTACATATACAATGTGTGTCTCAAAGAGTTAAAAAAAGTGACCTGAAAATTTGAAAACAGAAGTTAGTTATCACCTTTATCTATCCAAATTTATTTCCTGCTTACTGGAAAAACAGAAAGCAAATGGCTAGCAGTTCAATTCTCGGAAAGAAACCGATTGTGTATCAAAGAATTACCTTTTTTAAAACAAATATATACACATACGAGTATATATTTATACATATGTATAAAGCCTGCATGTGAGATTCCTACATAGATCTGTCATTTCTTCAAAATCCACTTGGCAGTCAGTGCTTCGATTGTCTCATAGAACAAATATTCCCTGTTTAAATGAGCAAATTTAGATACCAGCAGCAGCTTCACCAAGGCAACAGGGAGCTCCCTCAGGGCTGCAAACCTTCCAAAGAACCTTGGAAAGTTCTGCTAGTAAACCTCCTCTAGGCCACATGGTAGCACAACTAGCTTAATTCACCACTGAAATCAGTTTACAATAGCAGTAGTATGCATATGCTACAACACAACACAAACTGACCAAACTATAGATATTCCTTTACAACCTCCAGTTACTACACAGCATGGCAAATCCTCAAGAGTTGACAGCTGGTAAGCAGGCTGTGATGCCAAAGGTAACACAAGAATTGGTATGATTTCCCACGGGATCAGGCTATTTTTCACTTTTATCTAACAATGATCTCGAATACAGATAAAAACTGGAAGAAACTACTGAATTCATGCAAATTCACAGAAAGCTCCTGAAAATGTTTCAGTTGCCCTGATTAGTTTCAGTTTAATTTTTTTGTTGGCTCCCTCTCCATATCCCAGCCTTGAAAAATTGTCAGTCATAGCTTGCTAGAATAGACATAAAAATTACTTTAAAAAAATTCTAAAAAGAGCTCAAATTTCCAAGGATCATCTTTCACATGCTCACCTGTTGGCTCTATGCCTTCATCTTGCATCTCCTCCAAACGAGGCGGCGAATCTCTGCAGACCGTCCATGCATCTGTAAAGGTTCTAAAACAAAATACACCTATTAAAAAGCTATCCAGGACTGCTACTGGGATCCAGTATAATCAACATACAATATATCCAAGGGAAAACAAAAGCGCAGCTTGCAAGCACTCAGAAATATAAATAGGAGAAAACAGAAAGCTCAGAGGACCAAAGAACGTTTTGCCTCTTTGTTGCAAACTCTACTACAATCAGGTTAAACAGGGAAATGCCTTCACTCTAAGGATGACATTCTTATTTCATACAGTGGACTGTTGGCTTCAAGATCATGGAATATACCAGACAGAGACACGAATTTTGAATCTCGACAGAGAGGCCATGAACTGTGCAAGCATAAAGAATGAATTATCAGTCTTAACCTTGATCATACTGCCACTGCACTAATATCACAATACCTTGTAAACTGTCACTGTTGAAACCTGTTGAAGCTCTGAGGTTAGGGGTTTTTTGTTGTTGCTTGTTTGTTTTTAAGGCTAGGAAAAGAAGGAGATTTAGTTCCTAACAATAAAGAAACAAATTATCATTATCACATGGAAAAAACAAACTTTTTTTGACTTAAATTAACCAGACTAAGTTTAAAGCACAGATAATACAAACTCAAAACCAGAAAGTCTGTAAAGTAACGACTCCAAAGGATTATATCAGCGAAAAATCTAAACAATAACTAAGCATTTAGAAATGACTGACCGCATAAAGCAGTCAGTTAACAGAACAAGGGGTGGGAACCAGCAGCCTTCAGAGCCCAAGAACAAGCTTGGACTACCTCCATTCCATCTCAACAGATGAGTCCTGAGGGAAGCTCAGGAAGTCCTTCCCCTCCGCAGTGTAATAAATTAACTCAAAATGTAGAAAAAGAAAGTCCAAAGAATGCGCTTCTCCACATTCAAATAAATAATGAACAACTTCAAAAGCAGGTTTTTACACAGCAGTGTCAGGCAGCAAACGGCAGGACCCAACACTACGTCAGACATTATTCCCTATATATTAACAACTACGTTTTGTAGAATACGTGGGACATGCCTAGAATTTATTGTTATTCACAATAAAAAATCATACTTTAAAAAAGCCTTATCTAAGCTGGATCCCTTTTACAAGAATTTAGCAGATTTT